TAAATCAGAAGTGAATAAGAAAGATGGTGATGATAAGTCAGAGATGACTAGGTAACTTTATGAACTGGAAAGTAGTACTGCCACACAGTTGGAGGGTAGAATATAGTGCTAGGTTTTAATACAGATTATTTTGTTTGTTAGATTTTAGATAATGGTATTAAAATTAAAATGTATGGTAAGACTTCACAAATACAGAACTGAGGTCAGTATTGGGGATAAGAATAAAAGGATGTAACTAGGAGTCATTATTGCAAAGGAGATAGTTGAAGCAATGAAAATTGATGCAGTCTTAAAGAATGTCTTGGAGAAAAAAAAGTCAAGAGCTACACTTAGGAGAATAATCATGGATGAATACTTAAAATGCAGAAAAATGATTAAGAATGGAGACATTATGACATGGCAAGAGAAACAAATTGTACACAGTGGAAACCACGTACCTGTCTTCCTGTGCCCTCAATACTACCTGGCAACTCTAATACTTTCTCTGTTTAGCTTCTTCTTTCACAAAGTATTTCAATTTTTTGATTTTTCTCAGATCTCTCCTTATGCTTGCTCTTACTCTTAGCAGATAGCATTATGTCCTTTTTCATTAAAAGATATTAGATTAGAATTACAACTTTCTGACTAAGTTAGAAGCTGATCTACAAATGCAGCTAACTTTTCCTCCAGTTCTAATGGAAGGGGTAGTTCTTCAGCTTTGTTTCAATCCTTCCATCTATCTTCTTACCTCCTCTTCATTGATAATAATCCCTCTTTCTCTTTAGTTACCCATTTCTTCCAATGGAAGAGCAAAATTTAAGGAACTGAAAAGAGTTCTTGTAAATGCTCACAGGAACATTTACATATGCATGATTCATCTAATCTTGAGAAAAAGAAACTTAAGATCCCATCCTTGACCCTATTCCTCCTGCAGCCACTTGTCAGTCTTTCTGTCTTTGCAATCAACGTTCTTAAGAATTATAGCTTTGTATGTTCTCCTCAGCAACTTCTTTCCCCACCAGACTACTCTTATTAAAGCCACTAATGACTCTGTACCATTACTTCCAGTGTATGTTTGGGTTTTTCGGAGTTTTTTGTCTTGTTCGTTTTTGCAGTACTGGGGTTGGAACTCAGAGTTTTACACTTGGAAGGCAGGCACTTTGCTGCTGGAGCCATACATCCAAACCCATTTTACTTTGGTTAATTTGGAGATAGGGTCTTGTTTTTTGTCCAGGCCAGCCTGGACTGTGATCCTCCTATTTAATGCTTCCTGTCTTACCTGGGATGACAGGCACATGGCATTATGCCCAGCTTTTTTTTCTATGGAGATGGGGTCTCACAATATTTTTTACCTGCACTGACCTGGAACTGCAATCCTCCAGATCTCAGCTTCCCACATAACTGAGATGACAGGCTCACGCCCTGTGCTCAGCTGTTAGTTGGGTTGGGGTCTTGCTAACTTTTTTCCCCAGGCTGTCCTGGAATTGCAGTCTTCCTGATCTTAGCCTCCCAAGTAGCTGGGATTACAATGTGAGCCACTGATGCCCAGCTCAGTGTACGTTTCTAATCCTCATCCTACCTTGGCCTCTCTGAAGCTTTTAATATTAATTGCCCATATTTTCTTCAAACTGTCTCTTCCTTTGGCTTCCAGTCAAAAGCAATGGTTTTCTTTTACTATTCTAAGAATAATGGGAAGCCACTGAAACGTTTTAAGCGGGAAGCACCAGTTTTAGTGTGCTGAATGAACTGAAAAGGAGAGAAAATCTATGATTGGAGGGAAAAAGATAAAGTATGAAGATACCATAGTTTCAAAGATGATATTTGTGTGGACTAGAGTGGTGACAGGTGGTTTGGAAAAAATTGAATAGATAAGGGGATGATAATACCAACCAATTTTTTGATGGATTGGATATAGGGAATGAGAAAGCAGGATTTTATACTCTGGCATAGGCACCCAAGATAAGATGCCAAGGAATTTGGAGGTTTGGGTAGGCAGAGATATTCCAACCATGTTGAATTTTAGGAGGCTTTAAGATTCTGAGAGAAAACATCAAGGGAGAGCTTAGAAATACAAGCTTGCATCTGAAAGGAGATAGATATCATATTGGATTATTTCTATGTAATTGATAACTTAATTGAAATAATTTATATAAAAGAAATCATCTAGTAAAGAGTTCAGAATAGGGAGAGTTCCATTCTTCAGTTAGAATGAGTTAGCAAAGAAGACTGAACATCATGGAAAGAGAATATTTGAAGAAAAGAAGCAGGCATTTTTGTACTCCTTCAAAAATATCACATATCTTGTTTAATGATAATTGCTAGTACATGTCCACATACCCAACGATTATGGGCTGTTCCTGGGGAGCCAGGAAACATTTTCTGTAAAGGACCAGATAGTAATATTTTAGGCTCTGAGAATCATGATTTCTCTGCTACTACTCTATTATAGCATGAAAGCAGCTATATAAAAACTACAAAAGAGTGTGATTGTGTAATAAGATTTTATTTGTAGGTACTGAAATTTGTATCATATTCATGTGAAAAAATTCATAATTTTGATTTTTTTACTTATTTTAAATGTAAAAACCATTCTTAACTTGTGGGTTGCACAAAAATAAAGTGGGTCAGATTTAGCCCACAGACTGTAGTTTATTGACTCTTAATATTTGGTTTTTGGGAGGTTTTTTTTCTTTTTCTTTTTTTCAGCAGTACTGGAATTTGAGCTCAGGGCTTCATGCTTGCTGGGCAGTACTCTATTGCTAGCACATCTCAAGTCCTTTTTGTTCCACGTTATTTTTAAGTCTGTTTTTCTGTTTTGTTTCTTTTTGTTTTGCCCAGGTTGGCCTGTAGCCATGCTCCTCCCTATCTCAGCTGGGATGACAGGCATGTGCTGCTGGTGCCTGACTTTTTTCTTTTGAGACAGGGTCTCATTATAGAGCCCAGTCTGTCCTCAAACCCACAATCTCCCTGCGTCAGCCCCCTGAGCACTGGGGTTACAGGCATGTGCCACCACACCTGGCTCACAGTACATTTTCATTTAATGAAGTTTTCACCCATTTCAGATGTGCTTTGAGGAAAAGAGGTGGGCAGGGAGATATTGAAGGTGGGTTTTCTTCTTCAAACCCAGAAAAGTAAGAATTCAAACTTTTCTTTGAGTTTATGCTTCTCTTTAGAGATTAACCTTTAATATACTAAAAGTCAGTATAACATTTTGATACATTAGCAAGTGTCCAGAAGACTTTTTAATTTTTTTCTGAGATTATAAGTAGGTTTTGGGGGTTGTAGAAGGTTAAAACTGAATTCCAGCACTTCCTAGAGTTCATAGAATTTTTACCATTTATTTTTATTAATACTTTAGAGTCATAAAAACACCTACAGATGGTAGAACACACCTTTACATTTTTAAGGATCAGTGTTATTTGTCTCTGAGGTTTTGGGGTTTAAACTCAGGGCCTTGCACTTGCTAGGAAAGCATGCTACCATTTTGGCCACACATCTAGCCCCTCCATCCCTTTTTTTAGTTTATTTTTCAGGTATGGTCTCATACTTTTGCCCAGGGCTGGCCTCCGACCTTAATCCTCCTATCTCTGACTCTTTCCTAGGTGGGATTACAATAATGCACTACCATACCCACCTTTTTTGAAATAGAGTCTCCCTAACTTTTACCCAGGCTGACCTCAAACCGTGATCTTCCCTTCTCTGCTTCCTGAGTAGCTGGGATTACAGAAATGAGCCACCATACCCAGCACCTGTCTTTATTTTTGTCTTCATTTATTTCTTAGTCATCTAAAACTGTACTGGGTCTATGGAACGTGGGCTCTGTGGTTTTGTTGTTTGAGTTTAACATGAGAGACAGTCTATAGTCATGCAAAGGAAAATTGATATATAATGACAACCTGTGATATATATCATGAGGAACATTAACTGGTATAATATTACGGATTAATTATGAAGGAAGGACAAGGATAGTTAATTTAGCCAGAGGATGTGATGGTTTTCTTGGGAAATACCTGGAGCTCTGTGAAGAGCATATTGGGGAGGGAAGAGTACCTAGGTAGAGGGGTGCCATGTGCCACAGCCCTGAGTTCCACGAGAGATCCATGTTTTACAGGAACTGACAGATGGTTTAAGGTATAAATAATTTGAGATGTCTGCATTCAAGTAATCCTTGAATAGTTGATTATACACAGATTTTTATATAAATATAAAAATATATATATATTGGCTTGTCTTAAAATCTGACAGTTTGTATTAAGAAATAGTTGATAAGCATGAGGATCAAAATTGGCTAATTTAAAAAACTGATTTACCCTCTGTTATACCTTCATTGAAAAATTTCCAGCTAAAATTGCCATAGTATTGTATGTGTAAATTGACAGTAAACTAATAAAAATAATTGCTTTACCAAGGACTATTTAACAAATAATCCTTATCAAATTTGCTGAAACAATAATCAAAGAAGAAAATGGTTCATGCATGAGTAACACAGTTAAGTCTATAGTTCAAAAATGTGGCACACAGAGGTATCATTGCATGAAATGTTTTGAGCAAAAGAATAAGTTGACAATAGAACGTGTAAGTCATTGTCAGTAGGAAGAATACAGTTGGGGGAGAGTGAGGAAAATAGAAACAGCATAAGTAGAGGTGGAATGAAATTCCTGCTCAGTAAAAGAGGACAAGAGGAAAGAATGTAAAGAAAAGAAGGGAAGTACTAGTAGTTTAAGAGGAATTTCTTCTAGTAGCTATATAGAGTAAAACCTTAGAAATGACTACTTTTAGGAATAAATGTTAATATCTCATACCCATTCCTAATCATGTAAGAAGCTACAAACCAAAACTGTATCATTGATTATCTCTTTCAAAATATATTTTACAATATTTCACTTTGAAAACTCAAAATGGCAAATAGCATACTATAATTTTATTAAAAACTTTTAAAATGTTTGAAAATACTTATTTTAAAATAAAATGTATATACCATGTAGTATGTTGTATTTATTTACTCAAAATGTTCTTTTAAGTATTTCAGGCTGCATGTACCAAGTAGTTCAGACGATTGGCTCGGATGGAAAAAATCTTCTGCAATTACTTCCAATTCCTAATTCTTCTGGAAATCTTACCCCGGTAGTTCAATCTTCAGTCATGTCTGATGCTTTGAAAGGGAATACAGGAAAACCAGTTCAAGTTACTTTTCAGACCCAGATTTCCAGCTCTTCCACAAGTGCATCAGTTCAATTGCCCATTTTTCAGCCAGCCAGTTCTTCAAACTATTTTCTTACAAGAACAGTAGATACAGCAGAAAAAGGTAGAGTTACTTCTGTGGGAATTGAAAATTTTACTTCATCAGTCTCTAAAGTTAAGAGTCATGGTGTGAAAATTGATGGACTCACCATGCAAACATTTGCTGTTCCTCCCTCAACACAAAATGATTCATCTTTTATTCTAGTCAGTAACCCGAATCTTCCACTGACTATGAAGTCTCCAGTTTTGCCTTCTGGGCATCATTTGCAGATTCCAGCGCACGCTGAAGTAAAATCTGTACCTGCATCATCTTTGCCTCCTTCAGTTCAGCAAAAGATACTTGCATCTGCAACCACAAGTACCTCAGGAGCAGTTGAGGCCTCCCAAATACCAACAGTTATTTATGTATCTCCTGTAAATACAGTGAAAAGTGTAGTTACCAAGAACTTTCAAAATATTTACCCAAAACCTGTTAAAGAAATAGCAAAGCCATTGATACTAAATACCACACAAATTCCAACGAATGTTGCTACAGAGACACAGTTAAAAAGTGGTCAGCATTCTCAAGCTGCTCCAGTGAAATGGATTTTTCAAGAAAATCTACAGCCTTGTACTCCATCTCTTGTTCCTGTTAAGTCTTCAAATAATGTGGCTTCAAAGATTTTAAAAAGTTTTGTAGATAAAGAAAGTTTCGTAGATAATACTATAAGTATGCCACAATTGAGTAACATCAGTCCTAGTGGGACACAATCCATAAGTGTGCCTATTAAAGATAATGCTTTGGTAATGTTTAATGGGAAAGTCTATCTATTGGCTAAAAAGGGGACAGATGTTCTACAATCACAAATTGACCAACAGAATTGTGTTTCTCCTGGTATTCCACTAAGAAAAGACACATCACAGGTAGTAAGTTCAACTCCAGTCACAGAAATATCCAGAGAGGTTGTAAATATTGTTTTGGCTAAAAGTAAATCTTTCCAGATGGAGACAAAATCACTTTCAAATACCCAGCTTGCTTCCATGGCCAGTCTAAAGGCAGAGAAGAATAAAAAAGTGGAGAAATCATCTCTTTCTACCACAAACTCACATAATACGAACCAATCCAGTAACAACCTAAAACAGAGTAAGACTTTATTTACAAAACCAGTCTTTCCAGATGGATTTAGTACAGGACAGAATGCCCCCAGAAAAGGAAATACCATCCAGAGCATAAATGCAACAACTGTTACTTCACAACATTGTGTTTTCAGAGACCAAGAACCAAAGGTAATTTTCCCATGTCAGGTTTTTTTTTTATCTTGTAGAAATATTTCTTTCATAATTCTCAAAGTTATTTCTAATACCTCTTTCTCCCCCTGCCCTTACCCCATCACACACAGTTAATTAAGTCAAGACTTTCATCTGAGTATTTGAGAAGGAGTACAATTGGGAAAGTTCAAGCGATATTTTGAATCATTTGGCATGCCAAATCTTTGAAACAAACAAAAAAATAGCAGCAAAGTTTAGAAGATCTTCAAAAACTAGTAAAATTGTGTGTATACATGCATGTATGTACACACACAAACAAATACATTTAATAGCCTGCTCTTAGTGGGTGAAGAGATCAGTATCATATAGGAGAGCTGGGGGGATTTGGAGTTGTTTTGGTTTTAGGGGTTGTTTTTTTGTTGGTGGTGGTGGGGAGATAGCCAGAAATTTTTTTTAGGTATAGAGGAAAAGTAGGACAGGGCTAGTTGGTACTTTTCAGTTATTTGTGGAAATAGAATTTTGTCAACATCTTTTGAGTGGTGGGTTTTTTTTGGTGGTGGTTGTTTGGGTTTCCTTTATCTTTTTTTTTTCTAGACAAGTTTCTTTTTTCCTTTTTTTAGCTCTTATTTCTTTCTCACTTCTCATCCAGTTACCCAGCATATCTACCGGGTAGATATCTTAAGAGTTGTCCTTCTCTTAAGATAAGTGAGATTACTAAATATTTGTACCCATCTTTTTCTTGCTAACTTTGATGTCTGCTTAATACTATCAGTATTTCTTCCCTTTAGTACAGAATTCACTGAACTCCAGAGATGTAAGGAGGTAAATTTTGTTAAGTACAAGACCAATTAAAGACCTAAGACTTTTCCAGAAGAGTATAATTTCTAAATAATGTTGCATAAATAATTATTATTACTGTTTTGTTTTGTTTTGTTTTGTTTTGGAGACAAGGTCTCACTTTGTAGCCCAGACTGGCTTCCAACTCAGTCCTCCTGCCTCTGCCTCCTGAGTGCTGGGATTACAGACATTACCACACACCTGGCCTACATTATTTTTTAGGTTGTTATTTCTCTATTCTCATTACAATTGCTTGAAAATGAAGTACTTGTTACTTTCTGGTGCAACAAATTAAAGAGAATTTTTAGAGAAATGTCTTAAGTTTGTATTCAGATTCTGTTTTTCAAGTGTGGGTGGTGGTAAGGGAAAGGTATTGCTGACTTTGAAAGCACGGTGTGTTCTTTTATGGAAGGTTAGTTAATCACTTTATTGCTAGTCTGATACAAATAACCTGAGTAATTAGCAGTATGTTTGTGTTTTCTTAATTCCAGATCCAGAGAGAAATGGCATCTGCATTAGAAAAGGGCACTCAAGAAAGAAGTGACAAGAAGGAGCCTCAAAGAAGCCATAGTGAGGCATCAGATCTGAAGAGTGATGCTGAATTTAGGAAGACATTTGGTCTCACAAAAGATTTGAGAGTGTGCCTTATCCGAATTCCTGACCATTTGGGCTCTGGAAAAGGTTTTGATGCCTTTAGCAGTTTGGCAAAGAGTAGTACTTATAAAAAGACAGAGTTTGTGGTGGCAGAACAAGAAAGAAAACAGGTAATTTTTTTTTCAGGTAATTTTAAAGTAGCCTACAAAGATGTATGGTTGTATTAATTTTTATTTGGCATTAGCTTTTTTTTTTTTTTTTTTTTTTTTGCATTAATCTGACTGAAGATTAATACTAAATTGTAAATATTATATTTACAATTTATACCAAACCACTGTTAAAAAGAATCATGTACACACAGATAAAAATGCATCCCCAATTAATTTAAGTTGTTGTTTTAACATATAAGTGCAATTCTAAACCCAGCTTAACTGATTGGCCTCCAACTCCCATCCCTGCCTCTGTCTCCTGAGTACTGAGATTACAGGCATGCACCACACACCTGGCCTACATTATATTCAGATTCTTATTTTCTCTATTCTCATTACAGTTGCTTGAGAATGAACTACTTCTTACTCTCTGGTGCAACAAATTAAAGAGAATTTTTAGGGAAATGTCTTAGGACTGAACATGTGGCACATGCTTCCATTCTCTGAAAACAATGTTGGTAGTGATGTGCCCTTCACCTAGTATTGAATAGTTTCTGCTTTTCAAACACTTTATTTGTATTGCTTATTATGGTATACTGCTTATTATGGTAGACTTAGTTGAAGAAACAAAGTATTTTTAAGTGTTTTTTATTCACCTATTATTTTCCATTGTTATAGAAGAAGGTGCCCATAGCATTTCAAGTAGTTATCTTACTTTGAGGACTTACCCAAAGGAAATAATCTAAGTGTAATAGGAAGTGCAAACGTGTAGATGCTCATTGCAATGTTAACTCATACATTTTAAGCAACCTTTGTGATAAATAATGTCACTGTAACTTTACCAACTATCATTCTTACTTATGAATATGCCATTATCATCTATTATTCTGAACTTAACCTCTCCCAATGAAAAGTTTCCATGTGTTCCTACTATGCAAAGGAAAAGAAAAAAATCAGTTGCATTTCTCAAGTGCTTCATAGATGCCATTTATGTTGGTAGTAGGTCAATATGGCTTTTAATACTTGATGTAAACATGAAATCGTGAATCAATCAGTGGATTCTCCAGGACTATGTTTAGGACATTGCACTTGTGGAATGGCTCAAGTGGTAGAGCATTTGCCTAGCAAGTGTAAGGCCCTGAGTTCAAACCCCAGTATCACCAAAGAAAAAGGACATTGCTATTCATTTTTGTACCACACAATGGCATCCATTTCTTTGTTGCTATAGTTGTCTCCAATAAATTTCATTGAGTTAAGTTTAATTACTAAATATTTGTATCTGCAGACTTTGTTAAGTTTGAGACCACATTATATATAAGGCAATAACATTCTTTTTTTATCTTATTCAACATTGCAGCAGAGTTTTGATAGGAAAAGGAAAGCAAAACCGGTTAAGAAGATGGATCACACAAAGAAGAGAAAAACTGAACGTGCTTTTAGCACAGTCATAAATGGGGGAACTGATGTCACTAGTCCCAAACAACTTAGCAGTATTTTGCCAACTTCAGACATACCACAGCATAACACTCTCACAAGTGACAACAAAACCACAGAAGAAAAAAGAACAGAGATAGAACACTGTTCCTATGAGAAGCAGGAGAAAGGCACATTGAGTTCAAGTGCACCTTTTGAACAAAGTCATTCCTTTAATAAAAATTATTCTGAAGATATTTTCCCGGTAACACCACCAGAATTAGAAGAAACCATCCGAGATGAAAAAATAAGAAGACTTAAGCAGGTCTTAAGAGAGAAAGAAGCAGCTCTTGAAGAAATGCGTAAGAAGATGCACCAAAAATAATAAAATGTCCTATACTTAAAGCCTTCAATGAAATAACTTTTTAAAACAGACTTGTATTAATACAGTAGTTCCTCTTTATCCACCAGTGATACATTCTGAGATGTCCAGATCCATAGTGGATGTCTGAAACTGGAGATAGTACTGAATCCTATATACAAGTGCCATAATACTATGACAGTCACTCCAATCACCCAGACAGCTAAGTGAATAATAGGCAGGTGGTGTATACAGTGTGGATACATTGTGTAAAGGATGATTTATTTCCTGAGCAGGACAGCGTGAGATTTCATCACAATACTCAGAATGAGGTACATTTTAAAATTTAGGAATTCTTTTCAGAGTGTTTTTATTCAGTATTTTTAGTGCATAACTGAAGCCACAGAAAGCAAAAGTGCAGATAAAAAGGGGCTACTGTAAGTTAATTACAGATGCATTCTGAAAGTGTCTTTGAGTATGAATCTTGTTTTTTCATCAGTTGACTATAAAATTTAAGGAATACAGAAAAGGCTAATTCACAAAGGACTTGTGAATAATCTACATGGGTTAATTGTACCACTGTATTAGGTACCATTTTTGGAAGGAAAAGTATTTTTCTATTGTTTTAACTGAAATTCCCCGAAGTTTGATTATTTGTACAGTGTTTTTGTTGTTATTGTAACTTTAACCAAATCACTCAGATGTTGCTCCCCCAAATAGCTGATTATTGTAAACTACTGGAATTCTAAAATTCAAGAAAGTAAGTCAACTGTAAACTCAACTTTACCATTGAGTTTGTGTATGTACTTATAGTATCCTTACCCATAAAATGATAATACCTTCTACTAACCATTATTGACTTTATGTCATGAAAGAAAACATATTGCAACAACATTATTTAAATATTTAAACATTCCTCAAGAGTGAAGGACACTTGTTTTATAATTCTACAAAGTTAGTTTATATAATCCCAAGTAGCATTTAGAATTTAGGCTATTTGGTGATGTGTTGTTATTTAATACTTCTCAAACTAAAGTATAATTTAGTTTTTCTTAACACAGGTATACATTTTCTATCTGCTTGAGCTTTGATTTGGAAGAGTTTGAATATAGTGTAGCAATAGGGATTATGAAGGGAGAATAGGATAAGTTTATTTAAAATCATTTAACAAATCTGGAAGTAAGAAGTTAAAAAATTCCACTGTCAACTAAAGAGAAAACAGTAAATCAGAAAGTACTGACTGAACAGTGAAATAAATACATCAACTATACTTCCTTTTTTAAGTAGCAGCTTTATTGAGATACAATTCATATACCACAAAATTCACCCTTTAAATTCGTTTTTATTATATTCAGAAGTGTGCAACAATCAATATCTTAACTTTAGAGCATTTTCAGTATACCAATGTGAAATACTGTACACATTAGCAGTCAATTCATTCTCTATCTTCCTGACCTAAGTAAAACTGTTTCTGTAGAATTGTCTATTGTGAACATTGCATATACATGGAATTATACAATATATTTTCTCTTGTAATTTTTTTTCTCTTAGCCTAATGTTTTCAAGGTTTATCCATGTTGTAACATGCATTAGTACTTTGTTATTTATTGTTGAATAATATTCCATAGTATGGGTATACAGTAGTAATCCCTCAGCTTCTGTGAAGGATTGTTTCCAGAAGGCTGCCGGGGTACCAAACTCTGTGGATGTTCAAGTCTGATATAAAATGGTGTGGCGTTTGCACATACCTTATTCAGCCTCTTGTATACTGTATTTTCTAAATTGCTTACAATACCTCATACAGTGTAAACTCTATGTGCATAATTATACTGTTCTTAGGAAACGATAAGGAAAATGTCTATGTTGAATATAGACAGTTTTTTTTCCCAAAACTTTAATGTATGGTTTGTTGTGGAACCCCCAGACAGAGTGGGCCACTTGTATCACTTTACTTACTCATCTGTTACAGACATTTGGGTTGTTTTCCTTATGGACTACTACAAATGTTGCTATGAATGTTTGTGTACAAGTTTTTCTCTAAACATGCTTTCAACATGTGTATGTTGGGTGTATACCTAGGTGTGTGATGGCTGGGACACATAGAACTGTGTTTAACATTTCAAGGAATTGCCATCTATGTCAGGTTTTGCTACCCCTACTCCACCAAAATACTTTAAGGTCACCAGCGATTTTCATGTTGCTCAATCCTAAGAGGTCTGTACTCAGTCTTCTAAATTTATCCATCAGAAGAACATAATTTCATGAATCATTGCCTCCTTTAATAAATGTTTAAAACATTTTATTACAGAAGTATGTGTGTTGCAAGAAATTAGAAAACAGCAAGCTAAAATATTAAAAATTAAAACTTCACACTTCCATTATTGAGAATTTACAGACCTTAATTTGTATCTGATCTTTCTCATATATGTTTTTATCAGAGTACAGTCTTCATTTGTACCATTTTTATATACTGCTTGTAAAGTTAACAGTTTTCAGCTTTTAGTAACATTAATCTCTTCTAGGATTTATGCCATGTTCACTACTTTGACCCAGGACTATCATTTACAGCTATTTTTTCCAAAGCAATCTCAAATCTAGGAATTTTCCTATTATTCAGCTGTTCAGCTGTTATATCCCGTAGAGTTATTTCAGCTAAGTAAACTTTTTTAAATGACATTTTTTGTTACAAAGACCAGACAGCTGTCCTGACTGCTTTTCCTTTGATATGCTGGCTATATTTTTCATTCTGGAAGGTCATACTTCTGCCTTATTATGTGACTCATTCTCGGTCTACTTGCTTATTCTTTTTCTTCTCACTCTTAATATTTCAAGTACCCTTGGTCTCAGTCCTTTGGTTTCCTTCTCTTTCTGCTTTCTTGATAACCATATCTAGTCATGGCTTTCAATGCTTTATGTTGACAACTTTCAGATTTTTGTCTTTATTCCCAAAGACTCTTGGATTCCAGACTTTAATGGTGTTCTTCTTGTTTTGGGTGGTGGTACTGGAGTTTGAACTCAGGGTCTCATGCTTGGTAGGCATCTTCCACTTGAGCCAAGTCCCCAACCCATAATGACTGCCTGTTTAAATCTCTGTTGGAATTCTAAATGACCATCTCAAACTTAAGTTCAGTATAAATCATGTTCATCCACATTTTGGCTGATGATGTCATTCTGCCAGTTGCTTTGGAATAACACAGATAAGTCCTACTTGACTTGCTTCTGTCACCCTATCCCATTACAAATTGAGTTTGTTCTGTTTTCAAAATAGTCCCAATATGACTCCTTTTCATCTCCAGTGCTATCATTAGTCCTGAATTGCATTATTAGAAGCTTCACAGAAGGTCTCTCTTCCACCTTCCTGCCCATACAATCTAGTCTCAGTACAACAGCCAGTGATCCTTTTTAAACAAAAAGTAAGGCATCTCGGATTATGTTGCAGCAACTCCTTCAGTTTACTTAGAATAAAAGCCACTATGCTAATGGTTAGAGATCCAGGGAAAGCAAATTGAACTAAGTCTCTTACATTTTTTTTGTATGTGTACATGGTCTACATAGGTCATTTTTTTTCCTCAAAAAATGGCAAATGAACAGGTCTAAAGAAAAATAGGAATTAAATAAAAGAGTCAGAGATGGGATGGAAGAACTTTCCCAGTAGGGAAATATCAAATCAAAATGTTCTAAGGCAAGAAACAATGGCATGTGTGAAAACCAAAAGAATAGCAATGCACCTGAAGAGTGAGCATGATTGTGAAGGCTGAAAATGTAAGTTTAACTGCTAGAGTTGGCTGAGGCAATTTGGTCTTTATTTCTTTGAAGGCAACTTGATTTTACTACATGGATGCTCATGGTGTTTCCTGTTTATACTTAAAATGCTTTTGTAGATTATTATATTCTCATATTTATAGAACACTTGTCTTCACACAGTTCAAAACTTTTATTGGATTTCTTCTTTAGCAGCATGTGTTCTTTCACCTGCCTACACAGGCATTTCATCAGTTCAGAAGTTTCCTTCTGTTACGTATATTATTGCTTCAGATCTATTTATTATAGACTCTCCTTCAGGAAAATTAATTATCCACTTGTTCTTACCTCAGTTCTCTTAACTCTTCATTGTTGGAGTGTGGTTCACATTGTTTATTCTGTTTTCAGTAGCATTCCATTCTGTATTTAATTTTACTTCCTCTATTGTTTGCTCTCTATCCTTTGGTGGGTACATTTTGTGCCACTCTACCCTCAATGGCCTTTCAGTTTGGGTAGGATCGACCCTACTCTCAGCTCCAAGGGTAGGTTCCAGGCTTCCCTAATCAGAGGCTCTGAGAGTTTCTCATTTCAGGACACTCCTGTATATCAGACATTCATGGGACTGCTAGGTAAAAAGGAATCCTAATAGTTAAGTAGTTAGGTGCAAACAATGAAATAAGTGTAACCTGTATTTGTTTTCTAGCATAACCCATTAACAACTTAGTAGCTTAAGATAAAACCCATTATTTCCCATTATTTTATTTATAGGTCAGAAGCCCACGTGGCTTTGGTTGAGTACTCTGTTTAAGGTCTCAAAACTGGAAGCAAAGTATCAACTAGGCTGGCCTGTTAACTGGAGGGTCTGGGAAAAAAGACTGCTTTCAAGCTCATTCACATTGTTGGCAGAATCCCGTCCCTTATAATTGTAGAAGTTTTCTTTCAGATGGTGTCAGGGGAACATTCTTAACTCCAGCCTTTGTGGGTTCTTGCACATTTAAAGCCATCAGTAATGGATCAAATTCTTCACATACTTCAAATCTCTCTGATTACTGCTACCAGCCATAGAAAAGGCTTTTAAAGGTTGCATGTGATTAGGTCCACCCAAGTAATCTCTCTTTTGGTATATAATTTAATAAACACAAGAGTGATGCCATATTCTAAGTCTCACCCACATCCACAGGGAAAGAGTAAGAGTCATGGATGAGAATTAGTCTTAGAATTCTGCCTTCTTCATGTCCAAACATTTTAGTAGCCATTTGAAGGGAAAAAATGTAGAAATTGAGGAAAATACTTCTATTTCATCTTTATTAAATCACTTTCGTTTCTTCATTATTAGAATGATGTGGCTGTGCAACATCTCATGTTTTGTAATTAAATTAGGCACTACACCCTGAATTCTTGTTCCACATGCATTGGATTGCAGTAGCCAGGTACACTCTTGTAATCCCACCATTCAGGAGGCTGAGACAGAATGATTGGGTTCAAGGTCATCCTGGACTAGGTAGCAAGACCCTGTCTCAAAAAATGAAATGCAGTGCTTGCTTTTTATGACAGTATTTTCAAAAATAAAATTTTCATGAATATGTGGAACATAACGATATAATGTTGACGCTTGAAAATATTTAAACTAGTTCATGCAGAGTCAAACATCTTGTATCACCATTAAAAAACTAAGATACCTGATTGCATGTTTAAGTTAGCATTCTGTCACTATAATTTACCCCCACCACCCCATACACACATGCGAGAAAATCAAAGCATAGAGAGAAAAGATTTGTTTTGGCTCACGATTTTAGAGGTTTCAGTCCATGTTTGGGCCAGTTGCTTTTGGGTCTGTGGTAAGGCAGCACATCATGGTGGAGAGTACTTAGCAGAACAAAGCTGTTCACCTCATGGCTAAGAAGCAGAAGAGGAAAAGATAAAGATCCCACAATCCTTTTCAAGGCTATGCCTCCAATAACACGAAGACCTCCCAATAGGCTCTACCTTGTAAAGTTTCCATCACTTACCAGTAGTGCCATGCTGGGGATAAAGCCTTTACTACATAGACCTTTGGGGGACACTTGTGATCCAAACTATAGCACTGCATCTCTGTAAG